CTCTGGATTCTCCCAAAGCAAATTGGAAGTGCGCACTTTATAACAACAGTTTTATAGATTTATACCAACATTTCACCGGAATAGATGCTCATAACAAAATGTTGGAAAGAAAAACGCACCCAGAACTCGTTGATTTTGAGAAACAAATTATGTTGCTTACAAACCACATGAGAGCAAGGAGCTTATCCATTCCATCACTAGCAATACTAGTCATATGAACTCGACAGGCCCAGTCAGCACATACTTTCGCTAATAACCTTGAAATATGTCGAACAACACTTTTCCAGAACTCGTTCGTCTATAGAACGGCAAAGCTTTGGAATTATTTACCAATGCGTATTCCCAAGAACTTATTATAACCTTCAAAAGTTCGAAAAACTCCATCAGCTACCTTTCCTCTGCCTATCCTTCCTTGGTGAGCACGATGTTCTTGGAACATGAGGAATTTCCTTTCGTGCGCTCCAAGAGCCCTGGGCTGGGCCTTAGATTTATTTCACTGACTTCATTTTGTCCATTGGATATAATCAACTAAGATACAGGATTGAAAGACAATTTGGAGAAAGTAAGTATTTATTAAAATGGAATGATTGTCCATTCCTCAGCAATACCATTCGAAAATAAGAAAGACACCAGTTCATATTCCACAGTTTATTTTGTTCAGTCATTGTAGATCTCATTAAAATTAGAATTTTTTCGTAGATGGAACATAATATGAGATGATAGGTACCCAATGAAATGAAAGAGTCAAAAGTTATAAATTCACTAAAAAAATATTCATACATAAAACACGATTTCGACACTGACGTTACATATATACACGTTATATATAGAAGTTATATACAGTTGAGACGCACCTTGCGACTTTGTTATTATGTGATGATATCTGTTCCTTTTTTTAGGAATCATGTAGTTTTCATGGAAAATAGGTCTCAACTAAATATCAAAAATTTGCACAACCGCCAAGTGGTGAGAGAGAAAAAATACGTCTCTTTCTATCTGTCTTCAGGGAGTTCAGTGTTTCAAGTTCCAACCTAAAATAAAGATATCAAGTTCTAAGTGATAATAACGCTTGTAATGCATAATCTATCAAACAAAAATATGATTTTACATGAAAATATTGATAATGGGTATTCAAATGTTCATTTGGGAAATACTTATACAAACTACAAACATACAGAATGCAATATACTCCAAGCAGGTGAATTTAAAAAACCATTAGTTGGTTTGTGACGGTCACATATAAAGAATTTTCAGATACTGATCAGTCAAGCAATTTGAAAAAATTAGGTCAAAAATGGAAATTGGAATTGAAAAGTAATAAGAAAATGATATTAGAGACTAATGAAATAGGTATGTAGTATTTTATGCAACGATCATGTAATGGTGGTAATTAAGAAACGAGCACGATACGAGCAGAAGGCGAGTGTCGTAAACCGTGTGCGAGTGTATTAATGGCCATTAAAACAGGATCATTCCATAATATTTTATCTACGACTAAGAAATAATGAAATAAAAATGAGAATTCATAAACTTACAACACATCTTTCGAGAGATTAAATATCTGTTATAATTCTCCATTCCATATTACCTCTAGAATTTGTCAGTTTTCTTTTCATTCTGTTGTAACTAAATCTTCAGACACCTTTTGCTTCATTAAAAATTTCTGATGGTGTGCAAGATAATTCTCCTCTACTATTCTATAATTCTACTCTACACTAGAAGCCCTAAAATCATTTGTATTTACTTCAAAGATTACATGGGACTGCTTTGAAACGCTCATGCAACTGGGATAGGACAACAAATTCACATTTATATGGGTTCCAGGGCATGAAGGTATCAACGGAAATAATGCAGCAGATTTACTTGCAAAGAAAGGTGCAGAATCTGCACTCTTTGGTCCTGAGCCATTCTGTGGGACAAGAGGTAGAACTGAGGAAATGGGAAGAAACGGAGAAAAGTTCTCCTACTGGAGAGCAATTCCAGGTCAACAACAAGCGAAAAGGTTCATCAACCATTCGCAGAACCGAGCCAAAGAGCTACTCAACCTCAGAAAACCAGAGCTAAAGCTTATCGCTTATCACAGGCATTCTCACACGAAACTGTCTTCTGAGGTACCACCTTAAAAAGATGGGTCTGGCTGAGACTAACACTTGCCGCATTTGCAACAATGCGGCCGAAACCACGGACCACATACTTTGCTCATGTAAAGTATCACGCCAAAGGCTGATTCACCTAGAACAGGTCTATCTCACGCCTGCTGAGGTGAAAAATTCAACCGTCAGGAAAATTCTAGCTTCATCAGAAGTCTTGGGTTAGCGGACCAAAAGTAGATAAGTGTAATCCCAATAGTGAGGTCTCCACGCCTATACGACCCATCTACAATCTTCAAAATTCCATACTTCCCTAAAATACTTGTACCTTGTACAGGGTGGCCAACTAAGACTCCAGAGTTCGATTTCTCTGTTGTCTTGTGAGATACAAAAAAAATTCATGTAACAAAATTGAAGTAATAACCGAGCATCACATTTCAAAATTTCTTGGAAATACACAGGGTGTTCCGTAAGGTCACATCACATCAAAGCTATGTTTTTTTCATCGGAACACCCTATATTTTATTTCATTTTTGAATTCTCCCTGAAGATCTGATTTCAACGACCCATCATACTTAGGGTCTAGCAGTGAAAGTTACTGACATATAGGGTGTGCAAAATCGAGATTTTCCAAGTTCAGGATTTTTTTCTGTCGAAACTGTTCATTATTCGTCAAAACGGTTTACATGTCCCTATCTCAACTTTTCACTCACCATCAATTGGTGCTCAATTGACATTTAATTGAAACAAATTATAAAGGACCCCGCACAAAACCATAGGGAATTGGCCCACAGTGGGATTTGCCTGAAATTCACATATGTTATTGGTATGGAGTTTCTGATCAAATGTTTTCATGTGACCAATCTTCTAAGACCAAAGATTTAGCTCTCAGGGCCGTATTTAGTATAGGTGCCAAATAACCAATGACACTTTTTTTTCAAGCCCATGATTTTTGTATCCATCATTATAATTTTATTGAATGAGAAATGTTGCGAAATCTTGGCATTTGTCTTTCAGCACAAGTCCTCTGTGAAACATGCCGTGTCCTACAGGACCGTATTTAGTAAAACTATATTTGCCAAAGTGCCGAATCGACTTGATTTTGTTATTACTTTCTCATTTCTTGTCCTATTTCAGTGGTCGTTTGATAGATGAATGTAGATTTCTTTGTGTACATGACAAAAGTGGTCACCATCTCAATATTCAAGATGGTCGGCCTAACATTTAATCTTTATGTAGGACATATCTCGTAGCTTTTTAGGAATGATAGTAGCAGGAAAGATAAGAACACGTTTTGATTGTTGAAATCGGTCATTTACTTTTTCAATTACCTAACTCTATAATATAAATATAACTCTACTATCTGATTGAAACTTCATCTAATTCATTACTTGCAGAGTTGAAACCGATATTTACAGGGTGGTGAACAAAAAAGTCGAGCACTCACTATCAACATAATTCCCGAACACTGGACGATTTGCGGCATCTTTAATATGCTGACACAGAAGTCGATGGATAATTCACATTTTGATTATAGCGGGCAAATCCTAAATACCACAATATGCTACAAATAAGATCACATGTTCCTAGTGTCCTTGCCCTTGATTTGCAACTGCAAATACCACTGAAATAGGACAAGAAATAAGAAAGTAATAACAAAATCAATTCGATTCGGCAAATACAGTTTTACTAAATACGGTCCTGTAGGACAAGGCATGTTTTACAGAGGTTGTGCTGGAAGACAAATGCCAAGATTTCGCAACATTTCTCATTCAATCAAATTATAATGGGAGATACAAGAATCATGGGCTTGAAGAAAAAAGTGTCATTGGTTATTTGGCACCTATACTAAATACGGCCCTGAGAGCTAAATCTTTGGTCTTAGAGGATTGGTCACATGAAAACATTTGATCAGAAACTCCATACCTATAACATATGTGAATTTCAAGCAAATCCCACTGTGGGCCAATTCCCTATGGTTTTGTGCGGGGTCCTTTAGATTTTTGACCTCCTTGTATCAATTTCAATTGAACACCAATTGATAGTGAGTGAAAAGTTGAGATAGGGACATGTAAACCGTTTTGACGAATAATGAACAGTTTCGACAGAAAAAAATCCTGAACTTGGGAAATCTCGATTTTGCACACCCTATATGTCAGTAACTTTCACTGCTAGACCCTAAGTATGATGGGTTGTTGAAAACAGATCTTCAGGGAGAATTCAAAAATGAAATAAAATATAGGGTGTTCCAATGAAAAAAACATAGCTTTGATGTGCTGTGACAACAACAACGTATATCTCTTAAGGACAAATACAAGTAAAAGTGTGACTTGTGCAGCGCGATTCTGTCAGAAGTCAGGCATAAAATGTCTCCTTCTTTTATTCAAAATGTGGTTGAGATTTCTCAAAATTCTAGTTGCCTATTCAAATTAGACTTTGAGAACAATATGAACAACAAATCAGTCTTATTTTAATAATGTGAGCATTTAAGGTTAGAACACCAATATTTTCATCAAGCTAAGTACGTTGGGTTGTTTTGATCCTGAAGAAGAGTCCAAAGTTGAAAAAAGATAGTGCATAAAGACATCAATGTCCTTAAATTAAAATAAATTTAATAACGCTGGATGAAAGCAACAGATTAATCAAAAAGCGATGTGCACAAATCCACATTAAATCATAAAAACCATCACGTCCGTTTCTATCTTGACTTGAAACTTATTGCCTAATTCATAAATTTGTGTTTGGAGGAAGTGTGTTCATTTTGCAATACTTATATATGCACTTGCAATACTTATATGAATTATAAAACTCGACACTGATAACATACAACTTCAATAGTGTCGCAGCCTTCACATGTGTGAACTACAAAAGCACAAAGAACTCACTTATTGGCCGAAGAGAACACAGCACTCGAACTGGCGCTCTGGCCCAGCGGCGTGCGCATCCGCGGCCGCTTCCCCCCCGCCGCGCTACCCCGCTGCGGCGTGCCCGCCCCCTTCGGCGGCGTCGCCTGCCTGAAGCTCCTGCGCACGATCCGATCGGCCACCACGTCCGGGCTGTCGTCCATCTCCAGCACGTAGCTGACCGAGTCCGATTTCTCCACCACGGCCTTGACCTTGGGCGAGGCGGGCGACTCGGCCGTGACCTTGGGCGAGGCGGGCGGCGACAGGTCGTCGAGGTCTCGGTCCGAGGACGTTCTGGACTTGCGCGGACGGCAGGGCTGGTGGTCGGGGGTGCCCGAAGTGGAGGAGCGGGTCGAGTATGTGCGGTCGCGGAACGAGAGGGTGCGCTCCAGGCTCAACCTGCTAAGGGTGAATGAGCAATTAGAAGAAATTCGGAGGACCGATGAATGGACCAATCTCAGCGAGCATGAATAAGACTCCTGGAATGTTTTGGGATGTAATGGAAATTTTGGCTTGAATATTTTTCTACGAGACGTATCATTATGCACTTCCAAAAATCTCAGCAAACACGTTACCTCTAGTCCAAGTCCCGGCTGCAAATATCGACTGAAATCTGATAACGAAATGATATATGTCCCAAGGGCATGTATTGTATTTTATCGAACGGCACCTGTGCCAATCAGTATCCTGAGGATTTGAAAAAAATGGAAGAATGTCTATACTGCAATTTTCTTTCCCATAATGGGCTTATATCACAAAAAAAAATTATTTAATAATTCGATAGAACTCACCCAAACTAGCTCACCACCGCAAACCGTTTCTTGCTGTGAGCTCCCTACGTTTTAAAAAAATTATTGAAATCTCCGATTTTTCGGACCTCTGAAAACGAGGCGATGATGTGACGTCAAAACCCTAATAATGAAACAAAACTATTCCAGACAGAGATGAATGATACATGATTTCTGACAGAGTGAATTAGCGCGATATCACAGTTGTAATAATTAATATATCACTTGCCTCAGTCTCCGTCGGGCGTTTGGTATTTTCTTTTAACTATGGCGAGATGAAGTTTGTACGTCATAAGAGGGTCCGTTTTCAGAAGGTACTATTATTTATGTCCAAAAATAAATCATTCCAGTTAATTTTTCGATCGAATTATGTCGTCAATCATTATTTATGTATAAAAGGATCATTATAAACATGGTCTGAGTTAAAATTTCTACTAAGGTGTACACGCCCATTCTAATAAGACTCAATATATTATTTTCCGTCAAAGAAATGAAACAAAATTTTGATTTGAATATTAGAATAAATAATGAAAGATTGAAACAAACTGTCTATACCAAATACCTTGGTATTTGGATTGATGAAAAGTTAACATGGGACAAGCATATTGGCATGCTCAAAGAAAAAATTTCCCCCAAAGTTGGTGCCCTAAGATGTCCAAAACTTATTCCAAATATCGCAAATACCGTTCTAAACTCTCACATCCATAGTAAAATGAACTATCTCATAAATATTTGGGGTTCATGTACCAAGAATAATTCTAACAAAATGTACTATATAAAAAAAGCATTAAAAGTACTGTATCGTCTTCCATATGACACCCCATCAAATCAACTTTATGAAGAAACAAATACATTTTCTTTGGAAGAGCACTATCTGATAAATACTCTCAAAATTTCTTTTGATATTATCAACAAACACCTCGAATCTAACTTCATATTGGTAAGAAATTCTCAAATCCATGAACATCATACTAGACAATATGACTTGTTCCATCTTGATGCTGCTAATTCTACACTTGGTCAAAAAAAGTTCACTCACGGAGCTATCTCAAAATTCAATAAATTACCTGATGATATCAAAAGTTGCACAAATATCACCCAATTCAAAATTCATTCGGTATCGGATGGCATAATTCTCATCTCGTTATTGGATCGCGAAATGAAGTGCGAATTTCCGCACGAGAAAGTGCATTTTTCAATCATTAGGCTCAGGATGGTGATTGGCACTGGTGCCGTTTGATAAAACATAATGTTCTTACATGCCTTTGGAACATTAATATTTCGTTATCAGATGACGGTCGAAATTTGCAGCCGGCTCTCCTACTAATTACTTATTATTGGCCGCGAACTCCCAGATTGCAAATTGAAATATGTTTTTTCTAATTTTGACATGTAATGTGACACTTTTCAAAACTGACGGAAGTTTTGAAACAACTCACTTTACGTAACCAGTTGCGTAAAGTAAAATTTTACATAACTGGTGATGTAATGTTCATTTCATTCATTCATTTCACACAACAAGAGTCGGCAGAACTCATGTAAAACTGGTCATTATTTTTGTTCATGCAATATGTTTCGTCAAAATTAGAAAAAATATTGTACGTGACACGTTAGGAAACGCCATTTTGTGTAACTCTGTGATGTTGCGGGATCTCGCTTCGCTCGTCCCGCAAAATCCCATCGTTACACAAAACAACGCGTTTCCTAGCTGATTACGTAAATATCTATTTTCTAATTTTGACATGTAATGTGACACTTTTCAAAACTGACGGAAGTTTTGAAACGTCTTACTTTACGTAACCAGTTGCGTAAAGTAAAATTTTACATAACTGGTGATGTAATGTTCATTTCATTCATTCATTTCACACAACAAGAGTCGGCAGAACTCATGTAAAACTGGTCATTATTTTTGTTCATGCGAAATGTTTCGTCAAAATTAGAAAAAATATTGTACGTGACACGTTAGGAAACGCCATTTTGTGTAACTCTGTGATGTTGCGGGATCTCGCTTCGCTCGTCCCGCAAAATCCCATCGTTACACAAAACAACGCGTTTCCTAACTGATTACGTAAATATCTATTACCTATGATTACGCATATTCGTTCTGAACATGATTACTTTGAGTCTTTGCTTTGTTAACAAATAATCTAAGATGTAGTGAAAATAGTTTCAGGATAATGATAAATAACCACAATGTTATTACCATGAAATGTGGTAAATTTTTAATTGAAAAGATCGTCATCGGGGAACATCGCGACGAAGTCGATTCACAATATTAAAAGTAATAGAAGACAGTAGTCTCAGAAAATTAATAAAACGCGTTCTTGATGTCGCGGATATTTTGCTGCAAATAAGAATTGGAGGATATATTTTCGACAGATTTTCTGGTGGTTGAATAGAACAACATATAAAAGAACCAAAATAGTGTTCAATATAAGTGAGTCTTTCCCATATAAGATTACTTAGTGCCATGTTTCTTCACTGTCACTCATAAAGTCTTTGTTTTTATCAAAACAGGTAGTCCATCATCATAAAGATATTATTGACATCAGTTGAATTTGGAGAATTTATTTTAATAACTCTACCATCTCTACTGAATACATCTCAAATAGCAAAAACCACAAAATCTTTCAAAATTTTGAAGATATTGCAGCTGGAACTGCTGGAAGCAACTTTCTTTCTTCTCGGTTCTGCCGCTTTTTAACGAAGCACAATTTTCAACATTTAATATCTAAGTAGCAGGGCAAGTTCAAGAGCTAAAAAAATTACCAGTTATATTTGAAATCGTGTATTACAACATAGCATCCAAAAAACGAGAAAATATATCATTGATAACGAGCCCATTGGATAATCTCAGAACTGTGAATCGCATATTAGAAGATTTGGCATGGGTTAGTTCTGAAATACATACTATCTTTTGGATGCATTGTGAGTTGTAGAATTGTTTATAATTCTTCCGGTGATTTCTATAATCCTCCATTTCAAGTACCAATTCTTTCATGACCATATTCTGTATTCAATCTAGTTATTGAGTCATACCTGGAAGAACTGTGTCTCTCATTGAAACTAGAACTGAGTATGGATCTATTGAACGCAGTTTCTTCTGCTTGTTCGAGCACTTTTGTAATAACTTCTTTGTTCTGTTTCAGTTTCCACTGAAGTTCTTCGTTGTGCTGGGAAAGCCTCCTCTTCTGGTTGATTTCTTCCTTGAAGCTTTCTTGAAGTTTCAACTTGTCTTGTATAAGCGACCTACAAAATAAATTCATGTCTTCAGAACTACCCTTCAGAAACGTGTTGACAATTTTAAGCAGCTTCAATGTGTCACTGCAAATTCTTACTTTTCAAAGTCTGCTTTCCTCTGCAGCTGTAACTGTAAATCCTCGCATCTAGCATTCAAAACCCTCGCCCTTTCTTCGGCTCCCACTAATATTTCAGCCTTTTGTGTAGCTTCTGCTGCTGTTTTTCTGAGTTCTGCTACTTCATTTTGCTTCAGTTCCAACACCGCCCTCAGTGATTGTACTTCCTGAAACGAATAATTTCAGTTCAATTCATAATGCGATTCCCTTTGGAGTATTCTGAAGGGTTGTGATCAGTTTATTTTCGGAGGTACATAAGAGATAATGTTTTTATCGATGAATACCTACATGTTTAATTGTATGCAAATTTTATTGTCATGGCAAACAATAGAGAATCTTCCCTTGATTCGAGATTTGTTGCCGAATGACAATTAAATTTGAATACAATTTGAAATTTATTTATCAATGGAACCATTTCTCGAATGTATTTCAGTGAGATAAATACACAACTACAGTATGAAGACAATTTGGTTTGAAAATGAAATGACGTTGTGTTAAGAAAACTCGAAAATTATCTGACGGTAGTGACGATACATGTTCAATTTCAATTGTATGAAAGTTTTATTGTCATGGCAAGCAATCGAGAATCAAGTGAGTGAGATGTATTTATCAATAAAAACATTACTGGAATGTATTTTAGGGACATTAATACACAAAGTATAAAAGTGTGTTGATTGAAAGCAAGGTGCACGAGAGCTATTTTTTTGTCCGAAGTAAACTTGACGTTTATCAATAAGAATTCGGTTACCTGGCAATTTGACGAAAAAAACTGCATCTGAAAAAGTTAGGAGTCCGTTGAATTACCTAATGACAACAAAATTGGAATTATAAATACCAAGTTTACTTCGACTAAAAAAAGCCAAAGTGTAATTCGGTAAGACAATTTAATTCATCAAACATTTGTTTATATGGCTGGTTGTCATGCCTTCAAACGTTAGGTTCCGTTATTGTCGCTGGAAAAGTTATGGCAAACTTTTTTCGCTGCCATAATGACAAAATTACGCGGTTTGTAGAATTTTTCATACATGAATTAAATTACAAATTCCTGCTGATCGATCGGTTTTAGGATATTGAAGAAATTTTATTGGTTCTTGGAATACAGGCGTGTATTAATCAAAACAATAGAATGATAATCCGATGTTAAAAAAATATGTCACAGTTACTACTGATACCACTATTATGGAAGATGCATAAGTATCTGGAATAGTATTCAATTCGACAAATACAGAATATTTCATAATTATGTGCTTCGAAAATATTTTTTTTTTTATTTTCGTGAAATGAATTTGAAATTATAAAATTATAAAGAAAGTATTTTAGCACCTCAACCTTTTCTGATGATGTAAAAATTAAGGAAGGCATTTTCACACGGAGCCATCACAATAAAATTATTAGGAGTATAATATAAAAGAAAAATTGTCACAATCCGCGATATTCGTTTATATCAAGCGATTTTAAAGCGTCAGCAGTTGTATGAAGCTGACAACGGTTTAGAGAACTATTAATTACAAAGAAAAAAAAATCGGCGAAAAAAGAAAACATAAATATGTTCCAATAATTGAATAATTAAAATAATGGACACCAAATATACAGTCTGTCCAAGATAAGGTTGAACAGCATGGGGATCTCGAAAACGGTAAGAGATACGAAATCGGTTAAATGGGGAAAAAGTTGCGCATTCGGAGGCTCATATCAAGAGCCTTCGAAAATTTTGAAAATTATTTTTAGTTTTTGAGTTATATCGAAAAAAGGGAATTTTTGGAATTTCTATTTTATTTTTTTTCTCCGTTATTATTAGAGATACAGCAAAACTGAGAATACTTTTTCATAGCAACTTTTGATGGTGATCAACGTGGTGATACCGATTTTTTCATGCGACGTTTCGTATTTGTGGAACCATCATCAACTTTTGTTTTTTAAATACGGTCCTGATAATTTTTTCACAGATTCTAAAAGGTTTTTTTATTCTGAATTCAACCATGTATAATACAAGGTGGTTCATTTGTGTTTCGACCTATTTTTGGCCATCATCAATGTTTTTTCGAAACTCCAAAGGAAAAATGCCATCAGTTCCACTTATTTTGAAGGAAAATTAGTCAACACACTAATACCTCATCAACTGGTTTCAATCAACAACCCATTTCATTTTGCAGAAACAAAAATTCCATCCATACAAATTCAGAATATGTCAAGCGCTAAAACCAGGAGATGACGAAAGGTGCAAGACATTCTGTGAGTGGTATACCAGGAAATGTTAAAATTTTGCAGATTTCTTTCGAACAATCATCTGGACTGATGAAAGCATGGTCACTAATCATGGTAGCTTCGATAGAAAAAATCCACATTATTGTTCACGAGAAAATGAACATTTATACATTACAGCGAGACAACAACACCGTTTCGGCTTTAATATGTGGGTTGCAATATTTGGTACACGAATTATTGTTCCTTCTATTTATCATGAAACACAGACTTCCGAACGTTATAGAAATTCCCTTGAGAATCATCTTGAGGAAGCTCTGGATGATTTACCGATTGCGGAAGTTCAGAACTCTGTTGGTTTCAACAAGATGACGCTCCGGTACATAATTCCAGAGGAGTCCGTGCGTTTTTATCCCTTGGCCGGCGCGGTCGCCTGATTTGACACAGCTGGATTTTTTCTTAGGTGATGTATCGAACTTTGTACACGCAAATAACTTTGAGGATGAAGAAGAACTAAGGGACAGTGTCTTCGAAGCATTCAATAGAATAACCCCAGAAATGCTTAGCAATGTCTTAGAAACAACTGTGAGAAGAGGATATCTTTGTTCAGAAAATAATGGTTATCATTTTGAACATTTGTTATGAATGTCTCTGTAGGTATTATCAAAGTTAAGTTGTTAAAGTAATTCGTGTAAGAATTCATCAACAATTTTAAACGCTGCATTGATCGAATGATGTAGTGAAATATTTTTCATTCACTTTTCTGTATTGAATAACTAATCCATCAAGTTTGACACTAAATGATAAGAAATAAGTGGAATTGATGGCTTTTTTTCTTTTGGAAGTTCGAAAAAACATTGATGATGGATAGAAATAGGTCGAAACACATTCGAATCACCTTGTATAGTACATTGTTGAATTCAGAATAAAAAAACCTTTCAGAATCTATGAAAAAATTATCAGGACCGTATTTAAAAAACAAAAGTTGATGATGGTTCCACGAATACGAAACGTCGCATAACAAAATCGGTATCACCACGTTAAACCTCATCAAAAGTTGCAATGAAAAAGTATTCTCAGTTTTTCTGTATCTCTGATAATAACGGAGAAAAAAAATAAAATAGAAATTCCAAAAATTCACTTTTTTCGATATAACTCAAAAACTAAAAATAATTTTCAAAATTTTCGAAGGCTCTTGATATGAGCCTCCGAATGCGCAACTTTTTCCCTATTTAAGCGACTTCGTATCTCCTACCGTTTCCGAGATCCCCATGCTGTTCAACCTTATCTTGGACAGACTGTATATATTTTTTCTATTTTATCTGAACCTATTGGGAGGTGCACGAAAAATGTTCAGACATTGATTTCCATGAATTGAGGAACATAATACTGACATTTTCACATACATGAATTTCTAATCTGTTTGTATCTCAATTTTGTAGATATCCCTTATATACCCTAGCAATTGTTTAGTGAATTATTGGTTGAAGAATATGTAGGAATATGGACGTCATGCAAGCCATGAATTTTGTTTTATTGAAATTTCAAATTTGCTCTCATTCAAATTTGAATTTTCCATTTTTGAGACAATTGGATCATTTTCGATGATATTCAGAATAATCAAACGAAGTTAGAATCGCTGACCTTATTACTTTGTTTCATAGAACATCTCATTGTGATTATTGGTTAAATTCGACGGATGATTTTTTTTACCTGAACACCGATGCTTTTATCATCTCCATAACTGAGCAGCCTATCGTTATCATCCCTCAACCTCTTGTTCTCCTCAATCAGTCCCTTTACCCTCTGTTCAAAATCGCTCTCCAACACATCTAACTTTTCTCTGAGCTTCCTGTTGTGCTCTTTGAGGTGCATTTCTTTGCTCTCGTAGTCCTCCATCAGCTTCTTGCTTTCCGCTTGGTTTCTCTGTATCTCCAGCTGCTTCTCCGTGATCTGCTCTCGGATGGATTCGTTTTCTTCGCGAAGGATGTCGAGCGACTCTTCGTGGGTGCGCTGCAATTTTTGGAATTCCATTTTCAGGGTGGCCAGTTTGTCTTCGTGCTGTTTGCAGAGGCTCTGCTGAGCGTTCTCCTTGTCTGATGAGAGGCATTGCTCTAGTTGGATGTGTTTCTTGTTTACTACAAGGAAAAATTGATTTAAATTATCAAGATAGAATGTAAAGGAGATACTGTATAACGGGTACAAGGTGCTGATAATAGTATATGAACTGAGATGTTCATGATTCATCTGGTGTGCCCACTCTTCAATTGTTACGTCAGACTAGCTCTCGATATGAACAATTGAATGCGAGTTCGGAACGTGGGGTTTTCACATTCGATGATAGATGGCGTTAACGATGAACAATTTCAAGAAAAATTTCAAAACGCGTTTCGAATTTCATTATGAAGTTGAAGTAAACTTTCAATGACGGGTTTTCCTTCTTTCGGGACCTGATGAAGAGTCCTGTTGATGATGCACGAATTCAATAATAGCTGATAAGGAACATCTATGGATACAGGATGCAAAAGAGACAGGGTGTCACAAATAATCCGTGTTAAAACATCTTGATCTTGACATGACAGGTTTTGATTATATTATTATCAGTTGAGTGAGTGCTGTATTGTGCTTTCATCATAAACTGACTGTTGCAATGTGTAAGGATTATTTGAAAATCCGAACATTCGATTTATTGTATGTACCAAAAGTGAGTAAATAAACTATATTATCACAGGATTTTCTTCAGTTATCACTTCGTGTCGTTCATGAATTCACCATTGAAAGTCGAAAATATAACGCACTGTTTCCATTTACATAAAAAATTGTGAAAATGGAAATTTTTACTCAAATGAATGTGTCATGATACCTGTGAATTTGGTGTGGAACTTCGGAAACTTAGCAACGCCTTGTTATTTTTACGAAGTAGGCGATATCGAGAGATTTCGAAACTTCTTTCAATAGGTAGTGATAACCATATGACTTTCTATTATATAAAAACATTGACGTTCCAATTATTTGAAAACTCTGACATTCCTTTTTCCATACAGGGTGATTCAAAAAAGTATGTATTTTTAGGACGTATTTTTAGGATCGTAACAAGACTTTGTCTTCATATAAACATGTGTTCTAAAATACACCTCCTCCAAGCTAAAGCCACTGTAAGTTGAGTAAAAAAAAAGATTATCTATCTGAGATTGCGATCATAATATCGGATCAAGTGCAAGTATTCCAGTACTGCACGCTTCTGAAATAGCAGTCTCAAATGCGTTCCGACATACGATCACCTCCGTATGCAAGCGTTCAACCATGGCATTCGAATACGATGTCCTGGCTTCCCCTTTCTTCAATTACGATTTTCTGACAAACGGTTAGTATGAAAAATATACAAGAGAACGAATTTTTACATTTTTTCATGGCCCACAAGATCATGGTATTCAAAGTCAGAGATTCTCATTTTAAACATTAAATTTGAGCCAATAAAAGTGTGGGCACCCCTTCAACTTCCCCAAAACTTGGTTGAAATCATTTTTGGAGCAAGAAGGAAACAAAGTGTCTAAAAAGACAGGGGACGCCAATTTTCAGAAGATTTACTACGTTATTTCAGTTAAAATTTCAGATAATCTTTTTTTACGCAAATTAAAATAGCTGTTTCTCGGACGCGTCAAGTTTCTCAAATGAAGCACCCTATATAAGTATTATTGGATTTTTGGAATCTACATAAAAAGCTAAGTTCAAAAATCACACATAGGGTTCATCCGTTGAATTCAGTGCTCTCTTAAAGTGTTGGATAAATGCTTGTAGAATTGAAGGAATCATTTCTGGAAAGAATGCTCAACGTCGAATTTAATTCCATCTGGGCATGTTTTCAAATGGGCACGATAAAAAGGTACTCCGCGACCTAGGTACACAATCGAGAAGTTTATTATATTGAGGTTTTTTCTTACTGTGAAGTTTGTGAAAAATTAATATACAGGGTGATTCACATAAGAACCGACATAGAGCAGGGGCATGTAGGGGGTCCCAAAATATGGCAATTTAACGCAACTTACCTTTATACCAAGTTGCTTCCCTAAGGAGATATAGGCTTCGAAAGTGAAGTAATAAATTTTGAAAAAAATCAATATCTCCGTTATTCTTGAACTTGAAGCAACCAAATTTGGTAAACTTTGTGGATGTATTTAGGGCGTTACTTGGCAGTAACTAGAGTTTAATTGAAATTTATAGGGGGTATACCTGGTGGCGCACTATCAATATTCAACATAATTTTGTTAACACTTGATGGATTTCAAAAATATTTGCTTTGTTTTGTGGGCAATTCAATTCTAAAACTTATCTTACTCCAGTAATGTTTCGAAAAACATCATCATTTTCATCAAAAACTCGAATAACTGATAACGCTCGCTCTAGGTGTGTCATTTAAAATCATCGAAAATTCAAAAGTTGGCTATGAAAATAAACGTCAAACTTGACAATGAGGCAAGTGAGTTGTTCAATTAAGTAATTGGTGTTTGAGTGTTTTTAAAATGAACGGGAAGTTTTCTTGTTACGAGCAAGTTGACATGCTGTTAGTGTTATGCCTATAACTCCTTAGGGAAGCAACTTGGTATAGAGGTAAGTTGCGTTAAATTGCCATATTTTGGGACCCCCTACATGCCCCTGCCCAATGTCGGTTGTTATGTGAATCACCCTGTATACGTATTTTTCATTTTTTCGTAAGATCAAATTTCACTTCAGAAAAAAATAAATGAAAGAGGAACTTGGCTCCTCCACCATTCCTTTGACTTACTTTCTGAAAATCCACATTCACACAGAGTTGCAATACGATTCCCGGTGTCGGTACGACGTTGCCGACATCAGCAATATGTCCAGATTTCCGGAAATTGTTCTTTGAATGCATAATAACTATCATAACAGCAATGGGATATAATAGGTTCTGCAATCCTACTTTGTCAAGTATCATGAATAATTCCAATGGATCTCTCATTGGCTGAATGAAGTTGATTACTAAAGAGATAAATTATGATATTTTGCGATAGTATCTATAATTTTTCACTATCGTTATATTACAATATGTTATTCATAACTTGTCATGTCATTTTTTGGCTAATGAATTTGTTCCCTAATAAAACGGATCCATTTTCTAGAAAAGTTGCAGATTATATCTTGCAACAACGCCTAATACTTGTAGTCCGTCCACACCACTCAAAATACTGACAGGCACAACAAGAGGAAGGAGTCATAGGTGTCGGCTTCAATCTGTTCTGACCGATGGCAGTAAATTAGGAAGGATATGGTATCATTCAATGTAGCCGATAGTGATTCATTGATTCAAGATTCAATGATATTTTCGTTTAGGATCGAGCTCTATTCGAGATACTTCAATGCATTAATAACAAAACCATAACCTGTCAGAATGAGGCCAACTACCTTCTGCTTTCCTGCTTCGAGTGCATTTGTGGTTATGTATGTTTTTGTTTACCAGTTCTCTATTTTTTTTCGTTTGTTAGCTATTCGTTAGCTATTCGATAGCTATATTCTAGAAACTAACTTCTCCTCTCGCCGGCGTAAAAATAACTTTACTTACGTTCAGCGATTTGTATCCTATGTTTCTCGATCAATTCAGTTATATCGCCCCTACATCTGATCCTTTCTTCTTCGATCGCTCGTGCCTGCAGAATTTTTTCTTGAGCGAGAGTCTCTTCTAAGTGCTGGCATGCCAATCGTATCTCTTCAGATTCTGTACGGTACTTTTCTAGTTGCCTTTTGAGGGTGGGTACTTGATAAGCTTCCACCTTAAAATAATATAATACAGTATAAGTGATGAGTGGATATTAAAAGTGCTAGAAATAGAGCAACTGTTTGAAAGACCAGTTATACACGAATACTTTAAGCAATTTAGTTTATTGGTACGGGGTGCCCCAAATGTCCCATACTTCTCAACATATTTTCGATATTCAAACATATTTCGGGAATATTTTTTTACGAATTTCTTGAATCTGATCTGATTTTTCTCTGTATCATCAATATACCGGATGACACAGGAGACATGTAGCAGCCTGTAGTTTTTTTATTTGGAGAGTTAACATTTTGAAATTCACAGGGGGTATATAATAAATGGTAGCGCACTTTACGAACTTAACGACAATTTTTTTCAACCACCTGTTTCACCGAAAGTGTCCTCAACTTTTTTTTAAATGTCGCCCTGTACATTTCTTCAGTCAATCTTTTTCGCCTTGAAATTCTCTATCCAACCATGTATCACAAAGTGGCATTCATTTCTTAATTCGCTGTTGAATTGCTTTTTATTCAAAAAGAATAAGTTAGCTGTGACATGAATTCAATGATATATCGACACTTGGTAGGCTTTGAAATTTAAAGATCATTAGTAAACCGATATTATTCAAAATGTTTTGATATTCTGATCAATGTCTGCAGGTTGTCAATAGCTTGTTTGAGTCAAGAAATAACTCATGATGTTGAGGAATCTAAGATAGGAACATATTTTTTCGAATTCAGCTACTCGTACAGAAACTATCTGTCTTTTATTTTCGCCATTATACCTATCACCTGTCTTTTATTTTCGCCATGTACCTATCACATGATCTCCCCATTTGGAATAATGAAACTAAAATTGTTCCTCTTATACGATGATCCACAGGGCTATCAGTCTATTTTTTCATACCTAATTATTTCACTTAGTATGCGGTGCTACACAAAATGTTTTATGTGTTTGACAGTTAATCGATCGCATCAATAATTTTTCTTTTTCATTTGTGGTGTTGATTAAAATTAACAATAACAATTAACTAATAATGTGATAGATATTTATGATACAAGTATCGTAACATTCACATAACGATATGAGAAGCAAAATTTGTAGACCGTAGGCCGAGTTTGATAACCCGTAGATTATCGTAATATGAATTTACGATACGAATATAGCACAATATTTTACCTACTACCTAAAACGTTAATTATTTAATCGAAAATAGCTGCTTCAATTAACGATTCATTAGAAATATATGACAAGTTAGCGTTTTGCAAGGGTTGGATGAACCCGGTGTACTCATTCTGCGAACTGTCAACTTTGACGCATTCATTTCAATTATTTGAGGTAATATGAGAAAAATATGAGAAAGAT